TGTTAACTCCCATCTTGTAATTCTGAGGTTTATTGTTACACTTTCACTGATATTGCTATAAATGAAATCATGTTTTTAACCGAGTCTCACATTATTGTGCTGCCCTTTTTTAATGTTTTGACGACTCTGTGCATGATTCAGTGCTGTAGATTATTCATAAAATCCACTTCTAAAATAGGGCACGCATATTCAAACGTCAGGAAAACTGGGATCAAACTGTGGCGCAAACACTTTGTTTATGTTGTTGATGTTTCGCGAGCTCTGCGTCATATTTTCGCACAGACTGAAGGGAAAATGAAACTGATGTTAAGTTTCGATTCCACGCCAAAGCTGATAGAGCATATATACAGAAGCTGCCTGCAGGTCAACATTCACGAATCAAACGCTGATTATTTCACGTCGACGTTTCACCTCAGCGGACAGAGTTAATCCACAGCCGAGCAGCATGGGCAGATCCACAGGTAAGACATCATTTATTTCATTGAGTATTTTATTAATATGAGGTGGAAAAAATTTTTTTTTTTAAATTTCTTGCAGTGTTTGTTTTGATCACCATGGCTGCTGCGTCAGCATTTAAGTAGCAGCGTTAAAGTTCTTAATTTAAAACCGAGGAGGGGAAAACAGCTTTTTGATGAGCTTGATGATTTTTTTTACATTTATTTTTCACTGTCTGCATTTTTTTCTTAGTTTTTGCTTTTTTCTATCCAAATGACAGTGATGTTGTGTAGTTTAGTTTGTTTTTGTGTTCTTAGTTTTTCTTTTGCTTTTTTTACTCCTTTGTGCAGAATGGATTCCTGCTTTATGGTTGGACGTCTTTAATGACCTGCTGTATGAGGACAATCAGCTTGATTATGAAGACCAGTGGACTCTCAACTTTAGCTACAGCCAGACAGACACAGTCACCAAGGACGAGAGGAAAAGAGGCTGGAAGGTTTATGCCCACTGTGCCCGTGGAAAGTACGTTCCCTGAATACTCTCAACATTTCTTGCGTTAATTTCCTTCAAATAGAGCCTGTGTGAGGTAACAGTCACTGAAAATATTAATACATATGCTGCAAAGGAGACATAGATACAAATATTTCCTTGCTATGGTTACGCAATCTCCACCCATTCCTGTCCACATGAGCAAACAGCTGATCTGATGATATGTCTGTGTGACAGCTGTCTCACCAAGCAGTCTACTCAAATGGAGAGAAACTTGTTCTGCCACCTGGTTAAATAAGTTACCTGAGCAAGTTTCTTCTTCTAACCTAAAATCAGAAAGAAAGTTGGACCCACAAGGTGCCAGACTGCCCACTAAAGCCTTGTGTGTCTCCTAGTCTGTTTTCCACTCAAAGGAAGCACAACGTTCATTTAATTAATGAGGAACAAGGGAGGAAAGAAGCAGTTCATTTTCTAGAAACAGAACTGAGGATTGCACAAAAAGTCTTATCATTTCTTATTCCTCGTGGTTTATCTCTACGTGGCAGTCACACCTCAATAAGCAAATGATAAGTGTGAGAAAGAAGGGGAAAAGGACTGATTTAGCCTGTGGTGATTTGTCATCATCCTTCCATCCAACCTCAACCATACTGGCCCCATCCACCCTCCCCTATAAAGTCATCTGGCTGGAAAGTTATACGGTTTAGAAGAGCAATATGATAAAGCAGCTGCGACATGGGAAAAGTGAACGCCTGCACTGAGATAGCAAGGTTAGTGATAACTACTAGGCTGAAAATAACTCTGTGCTCTGTATCTAATCACTTCTCCACAGATTTCAGTGTGCGTCCTGCAGAAAGACCTGGCCCTCAGCACGAGTGGTGGTGTTGTTCCGGTACCGGCTTCAGAGGGGCCGCGGGACGGTGATCATGCGGCCCTTCGGTCAGGCCTGTCGTCGGTGCCAAGATGGTTTTGAGCTTGGTGGATTTTCCGAGAATGAGGTGGAACATGCTCTGCTGAGGGTGTTTGCCAAAATCAGGAAGAACTGCTACGGCGAGGATGATGATGACGACGATGTGTCATCCACAGAGTCCACCGTAGTGCGGACCAGACCCCACGAGGACACCCTGTGTGAGGGATGCTGTATGGGCATTTGCTGTCAGGATGACAGCTAGAAGTGTGTGCATGCGTGTTTGTGTGTGTGTGTGTGTCTATCAAAGTGTGAGTGCCATGACAGCCTCCTTTTCCAGTTTGCACATGAAATTTTCTTCAGCAATTTGAAGTTTAAAGGCTCTTTATTGTTATGAAGGTTCTTGGTCGGGTAAAAAAACAACAACAAAAAAACAGGACCAATCACCAGATATGATAAATTTTCTATATTTTTTATTGTATTGTATTTGTACTAATTAAGTAATAAAATTTTGTGAAATTGTGATCAAGTTGGGTTTCTCCGATCTATTTTTTATTTTTCTTGAATTCATCTTTTACTGAAATAGACATGAGAATAAATGGGATTTATGGGATGGGATTTTATAGAAGCTGAAATTAATTTAGATCATCCTTCAAAAGAACTGCCCAAAAAAAGTTCCTGCAGATGTTTCAAGATGTCTGACGAGAGGCGAGATTTGGTTCAGGAAGGATTTATTTGCAAGTAACACAAATTTAGTCACATATTTAGTCAAATATGGAAAAATCCAGCACTGTCATTATGTTGAGTTGAGCTACAAAACTGCTGGCCTTGATTTTTTTTTTTTTATGGGAACGTGATAATAAACTTAAACTACACATAAAAATATAAAACACCACAGGAAGCTCGAGTCCACAGGAATGTTAAAGCCTGAACTAATAAACTGACATACGTGTGCACGAATACTGGTTCAATGACTTCAGGCTTCCTATTCTGAGCACCTCCCATTGTTTTCATTTATTTTCATTTACTATTGTTGTTACCGTGTAAAGTCAAAAAGGGAGAGCAGCGAAAAATATTTCACAACGAAAGTTTAGAGCATATTTTCACTTTCAAAGGATAATTTACAAACATTTCAATTTTTTCATTCATTATTTTTTGCACAAATATTGTGTAACCACAGAACACAGAGGCACAAGTATAAAATGCATCCAAAGCATCATTAATACAGACATAATACTAAATATATATTATTTCCCCTTAATTTACTAGAAATTAATAGACAACAGTAAAAAATCACCTGTGAAGCTCTAAAACTGGGTAAAAACAATTAGAAAAGTTTGATAAGCTTTCTTCTTCATCCAAACATTCAGGAATGAGCCAAAGATTATAGTTATCACAGAGCTTATCAGGACAGACATGCAGCATTTTTGCTGAAGGTGACTGTGTTTTTACAAAATACACAGGAGAAAATTCCCCACGAGTGTGAAGTGCTTTCAGATAAGAATGCCACAGCGCAGAGGAAAGTCACAGGAGAATCAGGAACACATGAGAAAACTCAACTTCATATTTAGTTGTTTATGTCAGGTAATAAGTAACACTTCAGGACACTCTCCTGACTCCTGCAGGAGCTCCTTTATTTCCCATATCTGCATCTTTTGACCTGGCACAAGTTTTGCACTGGATGCACTTCCTGATATGAGCAGCAGTGATAGTGCACTATCATTTGAATCAGTTTATCCTATCTGTCCAGAAGTTGATTCTGTTCATGTGGACGTAGCGTTTTCAGTGGGAGAAACGCTTCGTCACTCATCCAAGTGACTTATTCAGTCTCAGCTGACTGCAGGTTTCCCCAGCCTTATAAACAGTACATTTGCACAATGACTGAAACCAGTCACTGAAGGAACAAAGGGCTGTGAGGTCGGTTCCTTCATCATAATTATGCAAATTCTCATGACCGTTGATTAACAACCACTGATCAATCTTCAGTCAGCTGAGACTTCCGCAGGGTTGCAGGGGCAGCAGCCCGAGCAGAGAAGCCCAGAATAGGAACATGAAATATCCCGAGTTTCAGTATCTGTTAGTTTATTGAAATAAATGAATACGTAAATAAATGAGTAATATTAATAATGAAAACTTGCCTGGTGAGGCATTTATTGAGACTATGGTTGCACAGGACTAAGAGTGGCTGCTTGTTTTTATTGTTGTACCTGTACAGATGTTCTTGCCTCTGACTTATGTCCTCCGTGCATGAACGATAAAAACTAAAACTGAAACTGAAACATTTGCAAACAATAAAAACTAAACTGAAAAGAGCAAACACTCTGGAAATGAACTGAAACTACACTGAATCGAGAGGAAAAAGTCCAAGTAAATGATGCAATAGCGGAGACTGCATGGAAAAGGAAAGCAATGTTAAGTTTCGCTTTCCAAACATACACCTGAGAAGGTGGAACACGCCCTCCTTGGTCATCATCAGAGCCTGAAGCGAGGACCAAACCCCACGAGAAGAACCAGGCATGCCGCATGGATGAGAATGATGACTAATGTGTGTGTTTGTGTGTGTGTGTGTGTG